GAAAGTTTTATTCAGACTAACAACAACCTGTTTTCACTATCGCTGTGGTCGATTTTGGTAATAGATGAAACTTTGTGCTGTCCTAGTTTCATCAAATCTGGCATTTCGTTCGACATTTTTTCAGGTCATAGTTATTTTTCATTGTAGATTTACCATATTATCCTTGCAATGCTTAATGAAAAAATAGTTAAAACTACTTTTTTTATTATATATTGTGATTTTTTTAAAATACTGTATCTTTGAGAATCACCACTTCTTGCGAAAATGACGCATATATTTGTTATGCAACATTCTGAGGACACTCCAATAGAAACTTCCGTCACCTCAAAGAACACGAAAAACGAATCTTTCTGTACCCCGATCCGGTCGAAGCACTGCATGAGACTTCACACTTGCTGTCGAGCTTGCTGATTACTATGGATGGTTATTTATACCACCGAACTTCTCTGCCTGAAGAGATTAATACAGTGTTAACCTGCGCAAGTATGTTACAACTTGTACGTTGGTACATGAGCAGCGAATATTCCTGCGAATCGTGTAAATCAGCACCGTTATATTCCTGTTTAATCCAGCCCTCTGCTGTCTCTGGCTGTAGTATATCCTGGAGAAGGCCCGGTTGGCGCTCTCCAACTTTCTGAATACATTAGACTGGCATGGCGACAGGAGCCAAAGTGGCATTATTTAAACTTACCCCTCACTATGTATAGAATATATATTTTATAATTTATCGCTGGCGAACGTCGGCGTTTGCGCCTAATTGCTGTTGCTGTTCAAGTTTCGAACGGAAGCTCAAGGTGGGTCAGACATTTTGGAGGAAGGAGGAAGCTACACCTTTACTCCGGAGGTCTACCAGGGAGAAACAGGAAGTTGATAAACATGACTGCATTCAAGCTATAGTACAAACAGTTTCACCATTTGCCAAACCGATTTCTAACTTGCAGGTATCTTATGTTAGCATTTGTATGGATATTAAAACAGACGAATCCTAATGTAACATCCGAAACTACATGATAAGTGCTTGTTTGACCAATAAAACCACAGTTATTGACAGAATCTTTTTTGTAAATGTTTCAAGCACAAAGGTGGTCTTCTTCAGTACAATGTATTTTATGTCTTCCAGGTGACAGTTCGTTTGTTTTTTTCTTTTCATTTTCTTATAAACCGTTAAAATGCATAAATTAATAAAATGATCAGCAATGTTCTTAGTTACTAAGCTCCGGTGGGTCAAACCATGCATACCGCCTTCTTGCTCGTCGCCGAGTGCCTTCTAAGTGTCGACGCCACTAAAGGGTCCCACGATTCTCTTTATGTCCTGCCTTTTCCTCATAAATAAACAAAACACATACAGATGTAAACAACTTACTCGTATCCATTAACTATAAATACATTTTCGCTCTTGAAGGGATCGATAACAATTATCACATTCCTAAACGTGTGTTACTACAATAGTCGGAAGTCCCATAACATATCCCAGAACCGCCTGAGGCAGGCATTACCGTTCTAAAAAAAGGATGTTCAGCACCCAAAACATCAAGCAAGCATGAGGCTATCTGTTGTTTTTTTTGTTTTTAAATGTACCAGAAACTTCACACTCTGTGGGTTAGCGCGTTTTTTTTTTTGAGGGCTTTTTGCGTTTTCGTGACCAGGAACAGGGGTGACCTGTCTGGTACGTTAAAAAAACGACAGCCCTCATGCTCGCTTGTCGTTTTCGAGGGCTGGACGTTCTTTTTTTTTAAACTGGATTGCCTATCCCAGGTGGTCCTTGCCTATGCTGGTTTTGCGTGGTTTGTGATAATAAAAAAAAACGACCTGCCATGTGGAAGTCAGGTAAATAAAATAGTTTGTCATTGTACTGAAGAACATCTTTGTGATTGAAACGTTTGCAGTAAAAAAAGATTCTGTCAATACATTTGGTTTTATTTGCCAGACAAGCATGGGAGACGAATCCTAATTTCAAAAAAAAAATCTCACTTGATATCTTATTTGTGGAAATAAGATGTCAACTTTAACACAGAATAAATTAACTTATAAACGGATCGCTGTCAGAAATGGGGGACATTGATACTTTGGCAGGTAAGCAACGTGTTTCTGTGTTATGAATTCTCAAAGTGCCGCATCAGAAGGAAAAGTCAATTTTTTTGTTTCGCATTTTCAGTCTATTTTCGGCAATCATGGTGTCTAGAAAATTTTCTGAGACCCACGATAAGAAATAGTTTGCTCTAAAAGCAACTTAATAGAGTCAAAGCTCCCAAACCTTAATAGATCCAGTTCTATTATTGTGTTCAAGGTTACGAAAGCATTAAAAAATGTTTAATTTATTTTCCAGAAATAAATCACGTAGTTTTCACTAAAGGATATGAATGAACTCGTTCACTAGTTTGAAATTATTATTGTCATTTTAATTAAAATGAAGTAACAGACGATTCGAATTTGTGAGGGCTACAAACTGTAAATTATTGAAGATCAATTACAGAATAGTGTGAAACCGTTTCATAATTAACACTTGTCATAATTTCACAGAAATCCTCTCGAACCGCCATATTTGGATTTGTACGTCATATTCCGGCGGATTCCGATGTTTAATAGACATATCTATGCATATGTAGCCTATACAGGGAGATTCGATTCCGTATTGCCGATATAACATTCAATATTGTTTTGTCGTAAGGCCGAATATTGTTCTGAATATTAACGTAATCCTAATTTTTTTACACATCGTGGATTTACTGTTGACTTCTGGTTCTGTCGGGCTTTTATCTACCTAGTGCATCTGCCAGTATTAGAATAGGATATCTAGAATTTCAGAAATAAATTTCAAACGGATTTTACCACAGAACCATACTCCTGAGGATGTATGGAAACGTTTTTCGTCTAGAGATGTTAAAAGTTTTGCTGGGTAACTCCTTTATTTACTGTCAAATTTGAAAAAATAGCTTTTTCTCGTACACTTGAAAAGCTATCAAGTATTAGTAAAACGGCTTCAGAAGTAGGATGTGGAACATGAAAATACCTTCAAAATGAGATCATATAAATATTATATTTCGTGGTGATTACCATGCGGGAAGAACTTCATCAAAAATGCTCAACATTTTTTTAAATATAATTGTCACAAATTCGTTTGACATTGATGGTGATTTATGTGAGCTGTACACCGATGTATCTGCTGCCGCAAATTGAACAAGTGTGGACTCATTCTAAAGATCTTTTCATCCTTCACAACTTTTCTGTAGGTCACTTAGACCTAAACTTAATAGTTTTTTGTGTAAAAAGTAATTTATCCAACTTTGAGGTTTACTAAAAAAGGTACCCAGCAGAAATGTTTTTATTTCTAGATGGAAGACCTTTTCAGTAATTATCTATACCATTTTTCCAGAACAAGGTCCGTTTTTGACTAGTTAGCCTGATCCATTTCCCAAAATGACGGCAAGCTATGCTAGAGAAACAACGAATATCCAAAGCTTCTTAATCATGACTCTGAGAAAGATTCGCTAGATATTACATATTTGTGTATTTTCCATATGGGGCTTCTATAACCTTGGACTTGGAAATCATTTTCCAAACGCCTTTTCTGTTCTTTTTTTTTTAACACTTTAGGTAAAAGATACAGCATTTTCAGTCACACTCCAAATCTCGTATTACGACCGTACCGCGCGTTAGATTCTAATATACGAAGAATGTGGGAAATTGTGCTTAAACGAGTCGAAACGTTTCTTAATTCTAATTTACTGGGTTCCCAAAAAGATCTCTTTTTTTCCATGTATAGCAGTTGAGATACCGCGCCATTTGTAGGCTTTATCTTCGTAACTATTTGAGTATAAACAGATATTTGCCGATAGTTGAAAATAATAAATATGTTAATTCATTTAGAGCTTCTTTGCCGTGTTGGGTACAGAATTGCCACTCCTATTTAATCCTTTATCTATTTCTGAATATTACTAATAAATAATTATTGTTTACTGCAGAGTCTATTTTATGACTAAATTCGTTGTTATTGTTGATTGAATTTAGTAATGCAATTATTTTGAGAGCTTGATAGTCCTGGCTGCTTAATAAGTTGGAATATCTGGAAATGAGAAAAAAACGAATAATGTGTCAATGTACGTAGCATCTTTTTCGCACACTATCATGTAGTGGCAACGTTCCTCTCTTACGCACCGTTCCTTAATGCAAACATTGCGTCGGCTATCGGACAGCGGTGCCGGACGTAATGAAATTGTCAGACATGCTATATCGTAAATTTTAATGAAATCGAATATGGTGATCTATCATAATTACTAGTAAATAATGGCATATTTCTGCACCAAGGTATGTAATGTACTGTTACCAATCGGTATCGCCCTGTAGATTTTCATATGTGAGTGGCGGAACGAGGCAATAAAGCGTGTCATCAAAGGCGGCTATACCGAGCTGTCTGATACATAATAAACCACCACGGACGCCGTCAGGGGGCGCGCCGAATGAAAACAAGCGGCAGTTTTGCCGACCGCACACCAAACATGGCCAACTATATACCTACACACCAGCATACACCTTATAATCAACAGCGAATTGCTTGATTATTTATTCACTAATTAATCTAGGAGGTAGTAGATGATGCGTCAGCAGGGAGATTATCGAATTGAGATTTATTTAAGTGTGAGGGAAGGTAATCGAGGGATGTAGGGGATTCTTGTTCGAAGCACCTGTAACATAGAGACTAGAAAGGAGTTTAGTTCACCATGAAACCAGTTCGTATAGGCAAAGTGCAAAATTATTATTATTATTACATCATCAGTCAAGTTATATTTATTTCCAAACTTGAGTTACCATAAAGCATGATTAAAAATTCGACCAAAGCAATTGTATGTTTTACCAAATATATCTTTTTTAATTTTTTGGTTATATAACGTGGAGCAGTATGTGGTAGAAGGGGATACTAAGCCGAAACTAGGACTAGTAAGCCTCTTTCAAGAAAAAAGTCTTTTAAGTTTGCATATGGAAATAAAACAACACGGTATGTAGATATAAATGAATTTATTGTTTTTCGAAGTATTCTCCACGAAGATTAATACACATCTGCATGCGCTCGAACCAATTTTCGAAGCACTTATTCCACTCGTTTGCTGGCAGATCCAAAACGGCATTTTTGAATGCGTCAGCTGCTTCTTCTGGTGACTGGAACCTTGGACCACGCAGTCTGTTTTTAATTTTAAGGAAAGTAAAGAAATCGTTAGGACTTAGATCGGGACTATATGGAAGATGGTCCAATAATTCCACGTTTTCTTCCGTTAAATACTGCTTTGTTTTTTGGGCTGTGTGCGAGCTTGCATTGTCTTGGTGGAGGATGATTCTTCTTTCGGGGTTGATTTTTCGAAGCTCGGTGATGACTTTTGCCAAACAAATGGTGGTATACCAATCCGCAGTAACAGTTCTTTGCTCATTAAGAGGAATTGTTGCAATATGACCTGCTTTTGACACAAATGTCGCGACCATTAGGATCGTCGCTAAGACTCACCCGTCCACGTTTGGATTCTCCATACCATCGGGAAATTGTCGACTGATGTGGCGCTTCGTTGCCGAAAACATACAGTAACTCAGCAAGGCATTCTTGTTGCGATAATTGTCTCTGAAAGTTGTAATAAATTATGGTGGGAAAATGTCCTCGGTTGAGTTCCATTTTTCTAATGACTTGGTGACACTTAAAAATTCACTGTAGTGAGAACACTGCACGTATTGTTGTGAAACTTTGAATTTAAGTTTACTAAAGAGTGAGGTTAAGATTCAGTACTGACTTTCGATCCGCGCGGCCTACTATGTTTCTATATGCAAAACTTAAAAGACATCCCTCGAATGAATAAAAACTAACCGTTGCTAGATCGGATTCAGTGATGTAGTTTGCAATGAGACTATTCTAGCACGCAAATGCTACGTGGATTTTTCTTATGATACAAAAATGCCCTCCGCCACTGCCAAACCGTTGTAAAATATACGCCGCCCGCCTATGTTTCTGTAGAAAAGGTGGCCTGTGCGGAGGTATGCGCGTACTTTTCCCAAGATAGTTGTGATTCAGTCTAGTGGTATCATATGTATTGTATAGTATAGACGAAGTGAAGAATATATAACTAACACATTACAGTCATCTTGTATACTTACATATCGGCCATTGTGAATTTCATACACAGGTATATGATAAACTTCTACACTTTGATATAGGGCTATTGAATTACTTGGGCAGCAAATTTTATTGTGATTATCGTGCAAATTAGTTACCCAATTTCTACGGGCTTCGTATTTCATTCATATTTTGACAATGATCAAAAGTATGTCTAGATTTTTAAGATGGAAAACTGAACTTATCTGCGTTAAATCTTCCACAAATCCTATATTTAGACACAATTACACTAATGTTTATCAGTTTATATCTGTAATTTCGAACTGAAACATAATTATTTAATATTAAATAGAGGAATAAATGTTTGCCCAATATGGCGGTTGTGTACAATCATGGCATCGTCCATGTTGTCTTTAGGTTATTAGAATATTTTGGTGTTGCCTGCAGGTGTTATACAACAATTTGACAAATGTCTGAAATGAAATACCGACAGAGTCGAATGATTTACCCATAATTTTTACCAGATCTATATCTTCTGTTTGAACAGTTGATAAAACCTTTTGAACCGATATGCATGCGTTGTTTGTCTTAAAACATTGGTTATGGCATTTTAACAAAAATATGACAGCAGAAAGGTAGGTTATGGTGAAGTTGTTTGCCAACATATTTAGCATATGTAACAGTTGTATAAGTGCTTCTGTTGGGAGCAATTTGTTGGCTAATGTAGTAAATTGCACAGCAAAGCAACAAGGTTCGGGTTTGTTTTATAAACGTTAGCATGGATGCCACAACACAACCATTTTGACTAACTTGCAAATATGCCGTATAAAATAGTTGTATAAACGTTTATGCAACAGTTAAAAATTTGCCCTATAAGGTGTTGAATAACTATGCTATAAGAATATTTTAAACACCTCATTTTAGAGTAAATATGTTACAGAAAGCAAATTTGCATTCCACACAACATTATGCCAGCATTTTGGTGTTCAGGCAACAACAATAGAGAGCTTTTATGGCTGAACGGTTCTTTTATCAAAAGCTTATACCACTACTTTGCTAGTTGGGAATACAATATGGTGAAGTTTCTTATGGAAATTATTTTTTTTTTATAATTATTTATTGCTAATTATAATACATAGTAATAAAAAATTTAAAAAAAAATTAAATAATTCCGAAAAGAAAATTTGCTCATACTCCTTGTGTGTTCTAGGGAAATGCAATTAAGTTTTCTCAAAAAAAACAAAATGCCGAAAAAAATTAAGGGACCAAAAAGTTGTATTCCTATTTACTTCTCCAAAGGACATAATAAAAATTGCACAAAAGTCAGTGGCGTACATTTTCTTTACAAAGGTTCATTCAGATCCCGTTCGAGAAGCCACTGGACTTGATCAATATAATCAAGTCAGGGCTAAATTGACTCCTTAATTTATGAATACCACCGCAAAATTACCACAAAATTAGGTAAAGGATATTTAAGATATTTATTTCTTTATTTTAACCCCTTTATCTTGAGAGCGAAGAATTTGCGGACATATGTATCTATGAACTTTTTGTCTTAAAATTACCCAAAGACTCGTCTGTTGAATTTATGGAACGTACTTAATTAACACTCTGTATACCGCAGTTTATCCTACATGAAATCCTGTAAAATTAAAGCAAAACCAAATTATTTCCCTATAATATCCTGACCTGTCACAATTTATCTTGTCGTTCCATTAAAAGTACTATGCATGTATAAACAAATATTATAATTGAGAAAAATTCATACTCTAAAATGTTTATGGATATAAGTAAACAAAAAAAAATGTTTTTTCTTCTTTCTCGTTCTTTCTTGCGAGGCCTCTGTTCAATTTAGGTTTCAAAAACCCGTGATGGTGATAGTGGTAAAAAGGACCTACTCCGCATCTTTTAACCATATACCACGCCTTTTTTTCGTGCATTTCTTTTTAAAAATTGTTTTCACTAAAGGTACCTCCACGATCCAGCTTCTGTATTCAACAAATACAATGAAATATCTGTTGCACATTTCAAGGCGTACCTAATTTTTAAAGAGGGTGTTTTATCATGTTATATTTTAAGCAACAGCAGCATTTTACATTTGTCTTGAAAATGCATGAACACCTATATACCAGAAGTAGTACTCCCATTCCTCTTTTAAGGTGACGAGTATTTGTGGATAATGTCTGTTTTGTCCAACAGTTACCCTGTTAGCTTCCAAAGCTTCACTACTGATGCCCCAAACGTTTCCCTTCTAAATAGTTAAAAGGCAATATGGTGGTGCAGCAGCTAACGGCAAGTTTCTACCAGCTCCTTCACCAGCCGATAAATCTCGGTTCGCTGATAAACAATTAACGGGCGTTAATTTAACGGGAATCCATCCGCAGTGCATTAACAAATAAACCACCGGCTCCGGCTCCTGTGTTGCTCTGTACACTCTGGGGCTGATGCTCTTCCTCCTCCGTCCCTTATTAGTCCCGGACAACTGGAAATATCGCCTCAGGGCAACGAATTTTAGAGGTGTCAGATTCATATACAAGTTTATGCCAAGCTCACTCTTTACACTCATACCAAGTGTAATAAAAGTTAGGCAACGGCTAAAGGTATTTTTGAATAAGGTCAAGGTCAGGTATTTACTAACGTTGCAGAAGGAGATGGTGATCATCTTCTCCTAGAGACCCACCTTCAAATTTATTTTATGGTCAACATTTTTTTAATGAGATGTGTAGTAAAATCTAAAAACAAGGTCACCTCCAAAGTTCAAATGTCTTAAATTTCTAGAAGCTTCGCAGGATGGAAAAATCAAGGTCAAATCTCTAGTAACTTTTGATAAGGATGTCGATATTAACCATGAATTTGATCTTAAGCCCCACTTTCACGGTCATAATAGTAACCAGATCGTGTTAGGAAGTAAAATCCTCCACTTCCAGTGTTAAAGGGGGCGGTTCTTAGTTAAAAAATAGATAATATTTGATATGCTATTGAAGTAGAGTTTTAAGGTTGAATCCAAGGTCGCCACTGAAATGTTTGCTAAATGTTACTAAATATCGTTCCTTAATAACTTTATTTCGACAATAGTTCTGCTCAACTGCTAGTAATTTTGCCCAGCCTCACACATTTAGAAAATGAACGATCATTGCCTACTTCGGCATCACAGCAGATCGATCTCCAAATTTCAGAGAAATTGGTGCGACTGTTTCTAAGTTTACGAGAATAGAGTTGCACCAACAACAGAACTGCAGTGAGATGAAAACTGAATTTTAATATTTTTGACGCGCCGGCTTAATAAATGTCTTTATTTTTTTATTCGTAGCAGATATAGTTTTCAAGATATAGGTGCAAAATCTGACAGTTTCAGACCCTAAAAACAAAAATCTGTTAATAAGATCCCATTTTAGGGGGTATTGCTATTGTAAACCTTAGTTGAAGAGGCCTGTAAATTAAGGGTTGAGTCTATTTTTTTATTTTTTATATAAATATCGCTACAATTTTATATTGTCACCCTCAAAGTAAAACTTCCTTCTGAAGCCGTTTAAATGTTTTCGGCTGTCCCAAAATGAGTTCCCTTGGGGAAGAGAAAAAAGTCACAGGGACAAGTCAGGCGAATAAGGAGGATATTGACATTGCTGTGTGACATTATCGTGATGCAACACCCTGATGAAAGATGGGGTGGGTCAAATTTAACTCTTCCCGGGCCACTCTGACTGTCAACCGACGATCTGAATGAATAAGATCCCGGATTCTCTCGATATTTTCATCGGTTTTTGGAGATGCAGGCCTCCGCTTCGTGGTTCATCTTCAATCGACTATCTTCCTTCTAAAAATGCCTTGAACCACAGAAAATCCTGGGCTGTTGACAAAATACTATCTCCCTAGGCCTGGTTAGCAAAAGTTTCCATTGCGCTGTGCCCAAGTCTAAAGCAAAACCTGCACCGTTGCTTGAAATTAATGCCACTCATTTTTAGAACACAATTGAAAAAACTGTTTCAGAAACAAAAATCGTCACGAACAACCAAATAACTCGAGCGAGTTCAAACTTGTACTGATGGCGCATCACATGTTCCGCTGTCACCCCTCTAAGCACGGCGCCAGATAGAACGCTACGTTGCCAGTCTCATCACTTAGTTTACAGACCTCGTATTAATTGCTTATGATTGACCTACCATACCAATGATCATTTTTAAATGTTGAAGGATAAAGATAAATCATATCAATATTGTGCACAGCTGTTTGTATTTGTAAAAGGCGACGGGGTCTACATTTCTTGCAACTTCGATTTCATTGAAGCGCAGCCCGATGCTATGGAAGCAACGCTCGGCAGAAGTGATACCAGTTTTATCCAAGGCCGTACAGTCTCTGTTCTACAAATGAGCTTTGTGTTAATATTCCTGAACTATTGCTTGGTATATGATAAACGGCATTTCGGTCGACGGTGAGAGGCCAAAGGTTTGCCCTGCGCTGCCGAAAGGGCTTTGGCTTTCCAGATATGCATAGATAGCTGCTATAAATTTGGATTATGTCTACCTGTTTCGACAAAGGAGTTCACCAAATAACTCAAATATGAGTTG